CCCCAAAACCCCAAAACCCCAAAACCCCAAAACCCCAAAACCCCAGTTTTAAAGGAAATTATGGGAATTATGTCTGATTAAGTAGAAATTTCATTATGCCTCCTCTTTCTCTTTATGTTCGAGGGAGAGGAGATAGCTGAGTCAACCTCCATTTGCCCTGAATGGTTCTCTATGTTGGTCTCCATGTTCTGCAGAGGGGACTGGTTGCGCCTCCGGCCTCCTCTTCTCTTCTTAAGTTCTTGGTTGAACCTCTGTTTTATCTCATTGGTCTCGTTGGAAGTAGGTAAGTGGCTTGAAGAGTCTAGAGTGAATTTAGTCTCCATCATATCAATCAAATCCCTGATTTCGTTGTTCTTCTTGAATTTTGGCGGGATGTTCAGGAAGCAGTTTCTGACATACTCATCTTTCTGTATCCAAGCTTTATACTTATCATAGTGATCCATTAGTCTAGGCAAATGCTTTTCAGAGAGGTTTAAGATTGAAATTGTGTATGAAGTGATCCTCACTTCGTTCATTTTCTCTTGTCCCATGGAGTTGCCCATCTTCGCACAAAGGTTATCTAAAAGAGTCTCGATTTGCTTATCTTTTTGGATATACTTGATCAAGATATCAACAACTTTTTCAGAATCTTCTGCAGTGAACATTTGCTTCTCCGCAAGGTTGTTGATGGCTTCAGAAATTGTGTTATAAATCTTGTCATTGTTCTTGGAATGTAACTCATGAAGGAATAGTTTCACTAGATCTCTAATCTTTTCATCAGGGTCATTAAGAAGAGCACAGATATCACTAATCTCACCTTTAATCAGAATCATGTCGTTTAGAATTAGATGGCTAATGACTCTCAGGCAGTTTTTCTTGACATAACTATTTGGGGAACTCAGATTCTTAAAGAAATCATCCTGATGTAGCTTAACTATATTTGGATGTCTTTTATGAAGGTCTCCTATGCAAATCAAGATATTACTCTTAATTTTAGGATCAAGATTTTGGAGCATCAGAAGTTTAAATAGCATCTTTATCCTTGACTCACAATATTGGCCACTCACAAGCATGAATTTTCATAGAGTCAAGACAGAAACTCTTTCCAAAAAGGATGCTGTTTTCTTCTCTGTCACATCTTTATACTTTTGGTAAATATGCTCTATTATCTTGTCAGTGACTTTAACAAACTTTGAGAGTAAGTTTCTCTGTAACAGCTTTTCTTCCTGCAAAGTTCTCAGATACTTAAGGTCATTATCGAGCTCCTTATCATCACCTCCTGCGATGATATCCAATTCTTCTTCTTGGTCCTCGTCATTATCTTTTCTGTCTTCTTTCTTTTTCTGCTTTTTCCTCTCTGCTCTCTTCTCAAGTAATTTCTCTACGTTTTCAATGTAAATAATCATCTTAATCCCCATATGGCCTGCTACGAATAGGAGCTGGGCCAGCATGAATTGGGAGAAGTTCAGATTACTGTTGAACAAAGTCTCATCAATCTCAATATCTTCTCTCTGATATAGCTCTTCTTCTATGCGCTCAATCTCTGGCTCATGATCTAGGGAAATCTTCTTGATCAGACTATGAACAAACAGCTCAGCTTTCTTGTAAGCCTTTAGGTCTTTTAGCTCGAATAGGGAATTTAGGAACTGTTCTGCTGCACAGTTCCACTCAACGTCTTCAGTTCCGAACTGTTTGATAATCTGGATCATTAGTTTAAGTATAAAGTCATCAACTTCTCTCTCATTTCGTTGCTTTCTTAGGGTGTTGATCTTTTCCCAAGACTTGATCATCTCAGAAATTAGTATGAAATCTGCATTGGAGGATTTCAGTTCGTTAATAGTACGTTCTTTCAAAGTGTCCTCCTGGCTTTCAAGACAGTTTTGATGGTGCTCAGTTGCTATTCTCAGGATCTTCAAAGCAGCTCATCCGTTCTTCTTTTCTACTATGGTTGAAGAACACTCTGTAAATATCTTCCAAAGTGCTTTGTAAATATCATTTGAGATTACTTTCTTCCTTACTGCACAAGTTAGGAATTCTTCAACACATGCTTCTTCAGAGGAATCAGCATCCTTAAGTAGCTCAATCAATGCAAATGCTCTGTTAGTGAGGTTTAGCTTGTCGTCTAGGTACAAGATCTTATAAGCATTCAGTGCTTCATCCTTTACTTGGTTATCTTTGTTAAAGAACAGTACTAAGATCTTCTTTGTGCCTTCTACTGCTTTCTCAATCTTCATCTTTTGTAGATAAGTCAGGATCTTAATAGATTCTATCACATCTGAAGAATGAGGACTACCGAGCAACTGTGTGAGTAGGGGTACACTTGACTCCAGAGACAGTATAAGCTCCTTGTATCCTTCATAAAACTCAATAAAGTCCTCATTAAGAGCCTTTTGCTTCTGTACACTGTCATATTTCTCCTTGAGCTCGATAAATTTCTCATCAGCTTTAAGCTTCTCATTAATAGCTTCCTTACTCTCTTCAGGATATTTGTTTCAGAACTCTATTCTAAGAGCTTTGATGTCGTCCTTCAACTTATCAGTAGAAGTTTTATGCTCTGAGACGATCTTAGCAATACTCAGGATGTTCTCATCGATCTTTTTGATGTTATCAAACCCAACTCCATCTTTTTCGTTGATTTCATAAAAGATCGCTTTGATCTTTATGATTTCTTCGAATAAGGACATAGCGGCTTTCCTGACATTAATGGATTGATCCTTCATCCTGCCGAGGTTCATTGCAATCAACTCGCTGTAGAAGTAAGGTTCTATATTGTTTTTGACAACCATGAGCTTGAATCAGTTCAGAACCTCCTTCCTCACGAAAGAAGTCTTATCAAAGACCCTTCGCAGGAGGATCTTAAGTAGCTTCTCCTTAGTTTTCTGGTAATTTGTTCTTAATTCAGCATCCTCAATCTCATTAATGTTGTTAGTCAATATCTCTACAATGAAATTGGTCATGATGTTCACAAAAGCGATCCTGAGCTGGTATGCTTCTCAGTCAAGAAGCCCTAGCAGCTTGCTGAGTGAAGAGAACATTGTCTGGGATAAACTTGAACTTAATTTACTCAAAAATATCGAGTTATTCTTTATACCAATAGACTCATGTGAGCTGTCACTGTTAAAGACTGCTGTCAATAGTTCATCAAGGATAGAAGTGGCAAGAGTGCTATCATTTTCATTTTGAGTATACACTATTACAAATTCGGCAAGGGGTTCCGCGATTTCTTCAATTTTATACATAACTGAAATAATCCTCGCACTAATTTGTGTCAATGCGCCAGAAAGCTCCTTTGAATATTTAGAGATAATCTTCTGTAAGAACTGGAATACTTCTTCCTTCAAATCGGTATTGTTTTTGAATGCTTTTGAGTTTTCAAGCAAGTTGAACCCAATGTCAAACAAGCACTTAATAAAATCTGCTTCTACTTTTCTGGTCTTCTTCCACAAATAATGGAGGTCTCAATCAAGCAGCAGATTGATCTTATTGATTGCTGCTAAAAAGTTCACAGAATCATCTTTGGCTTTGCGTCTTTGTCTATTTCCTTTAACTCTCTGAAGGTCACTCTTGGATGTACTGGATTGGCTTGCTTCTTCTACAAACACATGGATCAAAAAAGTCAGACACTTTAGCACATTTCTGTAGGTATCGAAATTTTCGCTATTTCTGACTTCTTCAAATCTCTCTAATGGGCCTTTAATCAATTTCTGGAGATTACTCAAACCTATAATAATGAGAGTTAAATAACTTACATCTTGTGATAATATCGAGGACACTGGCTTTCTCGTCAGTATTGCACTTGTTACTAAAATGGACAAACGAAAACAGCATGTCGTAGTTCTCTGGGTCAAGTACCTTATGTATGGACTCTTTCCTCCCAATTGCGGAAGAAAGGTTTGTGATAAAGTCATACCGCTCTTCTTTGTTCGCACCTTGTATCTCTAACAGCTCATGTACATAGATTCGGCCGTCTGTCGGCTCAAAGGTCATCTGTTCCCGCTTAATTGGGAATATAAACTCAGACATATCGTCATCTTGGTTCATTGCTAGATCTGCGTCCATTTTTAAATATAAACTTACTATTTTTTGATATTTAAAGGGGTTTTGGGGTTTTGGGGTTTTGGGGTTTTGGGG